CCTACTCCAAATATTTTCCAGGTGCCCTCCTGCTACATYTGAAATATGCCAGGAAATTTATAACACGATGTGCGCTCTGCTTCCTGCATGCAGTGCATATTTTTAAATAAAGCCATCATGTGATGCTAAATTGAATGCCTTGGAGAAATCCAAGTGCACTCTCTCACTAGAACTGGATTATCTAGTGAGCCTATAATCGTGTCAAAAAAAGATAGCTTGATGTGACAGCTCTGCCAAAAGCGGGGTTTATGTTGACTTGCGCTCATTATGCTCTACCCTGTAATTCTCTGTTAGTCTTAAATGTGCTATTTTACTGCGTTGGTGTCAGGGCTAATTGTTCTATAGTTGTATAGGTCATTCATTTCACCCTTTCAAATCTTGTAATTATGCTACTGTACTCTAATCCCCTGAGGGTTTTTCCAAGACTCCCTCAAAATTAAAATCTCGGGTCCAGAGTTCCCCAGCTCCTCGTGAGTTTAACCAGTAGTGCTAGCAGATCCAACATGGTTTTGTCCTAGTGGGGCTGAAAGGCAGCGTGCCTCTCTGTTATGCAGCAGCTAAAACTAGATCATCCTCATTATGCTCCTGCCTGGCCTTGAAGTATGAGATGCAATGAACGCTTAGCTCTGCAGAGGGAAAGAAAATGTAAAAGGACAACTGCAAATGCCCCATTCACCAATAAAATAAAACCATTACGGTACTTTTCCAGCCCTCAAAATTAAGGCTAAAAAAGCTAACCCAGTGCTGGCTTGATGAACCTTTTTCAAGCAGGGTTTTACTCCTAATGCAGGTTGGATTTGAGCAATTATACTGCACAATCTTTCCATTTCCATAGCAAGATAGCTCACGTTTTATGTGTTGCCTTATGGGGGTTTCTTTGCATCCTTAATGCCTTACTGTTCAATAGTGCTGTGCTTTGCAGGACCCTGGAGATAACCTTCGAAGCAATATTGGTTCTTTTATTTCTAGCACAGGAATAGTTGAGAAACTGTCTGCACACAAATGACAAATTATTGTAATATGAACAAAGAACAGGACAATAAAGATCCCACCAGCTGAAAACTTAAAAGACGCTGTAGGCGTAAAAGGATAAAAAGATGGACTAAAAAAAAAAAAAAGTAAAAAAAAATTCTCTAGCACTCCCCAATGCAACAATATGGCTAATTGGTACAAATGAGAGCTGCTTAAGAAAGCAGACTTGAAGATGAATTGCCAAGTCTTCGTCTCTTGCCTGTTAGCTGCAGTGACCAGTGCTGGGTGCTGGTGGTGATATGTGCCCATCCAGCGGGTATCATCTGGAGAGGAGAGGACTGGGATCCTCTTCGGATCCAGAAATTATGGCCGAGCCATGGAATGAAAAATGAATTTTTTTTTACCCTCCACTCTCCTCTTCTCATCCCATTTTGTCAGTGTGGTTTGAAACTTGATGCCATTCACTTGTGATGAGTGGGAATAAAGGCATCCCAAATATCACCAAGCGATGCTGCGGCTTGGGGATGCGGGAGGGCACTGAGCTCCCTTCTGCCCTTCGAAGCCACAGGGGACCTTCACAGCAGCGAGCAATGGGGAAAAAACCTCCCAGGGAAGCCAGGATTTGTCTGTGAGGCTTCTGGCTGGGGATCGGGCACCTTCTTTGGGGCACACAGCAGCTAACAGGSTTTTGGCTTTGGGATTGCTCTGTTAAAAGGTTGTTTTCCATGTTTGTGGCATGCAGGGAAAACCTGGAGGGGAGAAGATGAACAGGATGGATGAGAGCAAGAAGCATCGGAGACCTCGTCTGAGAGACAGCCCGGGCATTTCCAGTGGCCCTTGCATGTGCTTTGCAAACAAGCTCTGCAGGATTGGGAGAGCGCGTGGAGCTGGAGGAATCCCACCGGCAACATGTAGCAGCCAGGCAGCAGCAGATATTGTTGCTAGAACAGCCACAAGGCTGCAGAGCTAGTGGTGGTGCTCAAAATTTTCTTTATAGAGAGGCTTTGGCCCTGGAAATTCAAGCCAAACCTCCAAGGTCTGCTTAGCTTGAGTGTGAAACCTTGATTTGCATTATAGTTCATGCTAGGCTTGCTTGGCACTCGGCCTGTTATTAATCAAACTTTTGCAGAGCCTGGCCTTGGTTCCAGCTTGGCAGCAGAACCTGGGCCTGGGCAAGTTTACCTTGGCTTTGCATTTCACTGCAGACTTCTGCTTGTGGACAGTAAATCAAACACATGATAAGTTTACAGAGGATCTGGACTGTGTCTGCATCTAATAGTTGCCATTACATTGCTTGTTTGGAGGTATGCCTGCGACAAGGTCATCCCATCTCATAAAGATAATAGAATTATTGTATTTTCTTGACTTTTGTGGAGGACTGTGTGAGGTAGAGATGTGGGAATTGCTGGGCTGCTTGAAGCATAGAGATCCCCCGCTGTGGTTTAGCCATGACCATCCTCTATGACGGTTGCCCATAACTGTTGGAAACCTTTTGTATTTCAAGCCATGAATGTGCATGGGTCTCAGCCTTGATGGTCCTACACAGATCTTCTGTTGGGAGTTTTGGGCCTTGGTGTTGCGTGGTGGGTTGAAGCCACCACTGGGCTGGGAGGCAGCACCTTCCACCTGGGGCAGCTCATGGGTTAGGGCTGGTGCTCGTTTGCAGGATGCTACRTGGCCTCCTTCCATCTGAACCTGGKYTGAACTGCCTCCATTTGCCTTGAAGGTGCCGGTCTGCTCTTTGCTGCTTTGGTACCTCTCAGCAGGGTTGGTTTTATTTTGGTGTGTGTTTTTATTTTTACTCTATTTATTGGGACCTCTCCATTTGTTTCCTGCACTGATAATAAAGTCCTAAAACTGCTGGGCTGAGCAAACATTGTGTGATTTCTCCCCTGCTCTCCCCCAAGCCCTGGCTTGAAAGAGATGCACTAAATTTATGAACTAGCTACTCACTTTAGGAAATTGCATCTGTATCCCCTGCAAAATTCCTCGGTGCTGGAATACAACAGCCTGGATCCTGCCATGGTTTCCATTCACCAGCACATGCTGCAAGCCAGAGGAGACCTGCTGCTTAACACAAACATGGAAAACAGCCATGCTTTGCTATTCCAGCTCCAATGAAAATCCAGCAGGGYTTCCTGATGAAGTGTCAGAACAGCTAAGCACAGCAAACAGAAAGAGAAGTTTACCTAGCTACATCAGACAGTACAGCTCCCGAGGTCCCGAGGGCTCCATCGCCTGCCTGGTTGTATTTAAACAATATCAGCTATTTTGCACACTCTCCAGAGGAGATCCAAGCTTATTAGCAGATTGGAAACATCCCTCTTTGTCCATTGTACCAGTAACCAAGCCAACAGGTACTCAGGCTGAACACCACAATCTTTAAGAGAGGATGGGAATTTGTTTGCCTAATGCTAATCTGTCTTCCCTTGTTTTCTGTAAATAAGTATAACAAATGACAAGTAACTCATGTCTTCTTGATCTTCATCTTCTGATGATAATTTATATTTTCATTTGATTGGTCTGGCTTACTGCTTTTATTTCGGGCATGGCTGGGACTCAGAAAAGCTATGCAAATGCTATTCCAGTTGTAGAAGAAAGAGGAGGAGGGGAAAGAATCTCTGGATCTCTATAAAGCAGGACATGAATGCTGCTTGATCTTCCCCTTTCCCTTTCCCTTTCCCTTTCCCTTTCCCTTTCCTTTTCCCTTTCCCTTTCCCTTCCCTCTTTCCTTTCCCCTACAATTTTCAAGAAAATAGTGGAACTTGGAGATTTTTAGCAAAATTATCCTGGCAAAAAGATGGAGTATATCTGAGGAACTCCAGACACATCTCACTAAGGAGGCTATTGGCTTCAGATGCSCAGGTGCCACAAAACTGCTCTGGTTCAAAGTACCTCAGGTCTTGAATATGGGAAACTTGATATCTGAAAGACCAAATTTTCTGCAGAGGAGACTTTATTGACCCCGACTGCTGAGACCCTGGCTCTGTGTCATCCTTAAAATGTGTTAATGTGAAGGRAATATTAAACCACCTTGAGATATTGTTACACACTAAGGTGTTTAAAAGGTGCTTACTGCAGGTGAGAGTTGGTCCTCATCTTCTGAGAGTCCATAGTCACCACCACGAGAGATGCTGCTTTATCCAGACAGGAAAATGATTCTTCTTATAAAGGGAAAAATAAAGGGAAAGGGGCACCAATCACACTTTATTATTCAAATATTTATGATTAAGTAGATCTTTACTTTGGGTGAAGTCTGAGCATGTAACTACTATACTTAAAGGAGGGGCAGATCTTTTGTATTTAAACCTGCCCTATATTCAATGTGTTATATAAATAGCTCTCCCAAATATCCGAGCAACTCTTGTTCTAATTTCTGAAGCCAGAAAAGGCCCTTTAGGTAATGGAAATAGTGGAGATTAGCAAAAAAGATGAGGATGAAAGGGGGATATCAGAGYAGCATAGAAACCCTTTGATACATCACTCGCTGCTTCTGAGGCATTTTCTTCTTCTTGTCTTGACTGTAAGTTTCTCCTATGTGATGTGAGTGAGTCTGCCTCCTACCTTGATGCTCCTAAAAATGTTTTGCCTTATCTTTCTGCATGAAAACATAACTTCCAGCCTGAGTTGTGGCTGGCAGGCCTGGGGAAAATGCTGTATTAAAGAAAATAAAAATATTGAATTGAAGATTTATAGAATCAATTTAGGTTATATTTGGGCCACAGTTGTGTTCATCTAGGGACTGATAAACTAGCAACAYAGGCAATGTGACTCACTTCATCTAAATTTAAGTATCAGAAGTTGGGCATGAAATGCAAGCCAGCTGTTTAAGCTTCTATGGTCAGTGGAGCTGATGGAGGAGCTCTGAGGGCAGTTTTCCTGCATAACAGGAATTAATCAGCCCCTGAAGGGGCCYGACTCTCCTAATTGATCAGAAAGTCTTGCTAATTAACACCATGGCACCTGAGGACTGATTCATGTGCTTAAAGATAGGGGTTTGGTGCCATTTGACATGCAACGTCATGTGGAAGGGATGTGTAGGGAACTAGAGGRTGATTCTCTTGGGAGACCCCTTTCTTTGTGGAAGAGGTATACACCCCTATTCTGGAGGCTTAGGGATACTTTGGGAATATAAATGTCACTAAGTACCTACCTGACTCCTAAACTCAATTTCTGACACTTAGAAAGCTCAAGTGAGATGAGACGAAATTCAACCCATTTATTTATTTATTTATTTATTTATTTATTCATTCATTCATTTATTTATTCAGGTAGACATGGAGTCTACAGAGTTGTGGTGAGACAATGTCCATGGAGATGACCTTCCCTGGACTACTGGCCCTGCCTGCAGGTACCTTCCTCAAAGCCTTGTGCCACTTCTGGTGTCTTAACAATTTCTAGTGATAGGGAGGTTAAGATGGTTTTTCTATCTCTCCTTTCAGGCCTAGGGCTATATGCATACCCCAGTGTGGTGCTTCCATAATCCTGTGCTCATGCTGATCTAGGCTGAATCCTACTGGCAGGTTGTTTCTGCTTAAAATGGTGTCCCTGTGGTCCCAGGGACACCCTCTGGCAGATGACTCTGGACAAGTGGAGCACTGATGAGTACTCACCCTCTCAATTACACCATGGAGAAACAAGGTGTGATACAGAGATAGCACATTTGTGCAAACATAGGCATTAGTAGCAATGAAAMAGAGGGCTTTGGCTTGCAGTCAGCTAGTCCGGATCAGCTGTTGTGGTTCTCTAGAGCTTTGTCTGCTCCCACTTTTCTTGTTGCTCTATTCCTGTCAAGGATTTAGCTCATGTGCTTTGAAGAAACAAACAGTGGAGGAAGAGGTGAACCCCAGAGCCCTCAGCAACACCTGTAGCAAGTAGCAGGTACATTCCTGAAGTTACTGCTGCAGCTTAATTAAAGGAGGAGAGACTTGCCAGGCTTAATTTATTTTTAAAAGCCCCATCAAATTTAATTTGCGAGTGCAGTTCTTCCATCTGCTTTCAGGCGCTATCTCTGGAGTTCAGGAGGAAAACATATGTCTGGTGGTTAATAAGAACTTGTTTTAATGGATCAAAGGAATGGGTGATTAATAAGGGCTTGTCTCTGATTGTTCTTGTCGTAACGATAATGCACAGCCCGTCTGGTCAACACCAGTCTACTGTGGAGCTAAGGGGTCCTAAAGCAGAAGGTGGGATAGTCCATGGTGGGGAGGAAAGTGAGGGCCAAGAAACTGTGTGTGCTGAGCTGCACGGAGGCATTGGCTTCCTATGGCTCATGCTATTGCTCCTTGGGATTAGATAGCAGACCAGCAAGGGTGCATTGAGCAGGGCACTTCAGTCTGTATTAAGACAGTAACTCAACCAGATGCTGGGCTATCAAAGGCATTGGCAGGTCCTGAGTAATATCCTCCTTTCCATAGACTCCCTGTGTAACCTGGGACAAGTCTCTTGAACCTCTTAAGTAAGAGGACCCATGGATTAGGCAAATGCTCTAATTTCGGAAAAGTAGAGCTTGATATGCTCCCATCCAGAATATTACTGGGAGCAGCTGAGCTGGGGCTGCCCAGGCTGATCCCTTTGCCATTGCCCTGCTCCTGGCTTGAGCCTCATGTCCCTGCTTTGCTGAGCAAGCGTTCCACGTCACCCTTGTCTTTGGGGGCTCGCAGCAGATTTGTGCAAGTGCAAATGGGATAAGAAATCTATCCTTGCCTTAGTGGCCAAAGCCAGTGATCGTTTAATGCAAGAATCAAAATCAGAATGATTTGTCGTATTTGCTTATACAACGTGCTTGCTTGTGCGTGCACCAGCAGCGGTGGGAGCGTTGTCTGGCGGATATTCAAGGCAGTTACTTAAGAGGAAATTCCATCTATTAAGAGTCCTGTGATTAGGTTATCATCATCTCTATTGCTTTCCRCCTTCTCATTTTCCCCCCTTTGCAATGAAAGCTTGAAAGAAAGGGGGATTTATTTGGTTGTTGTTCTTTAAAGCYGTAAGCCCAGGATTGCTCCCAGGCAGGAAATAAAGACGACGTTATTGCACCCTGGCCCCTCGGGGAGACAGCAGGCACTGAGGCATGTGCTCCCCAGAGCCACAGCGCGACRCAGGCCGGAAGAGGTACCTGGTGTCCTTCTGGCTTTGATTTGCTTTTCCAGCCTTAACCTCGCGTTAACCCTCAGCGCGGGGGTCAGGCAGAGGTTGCGGGCGCGGATGCTGCAGCAGGGACGTGGCTGCACCAAGCGCACGGCCACCTTGGAGCCGTAATGAAAATAACGAGGGGCCCCTAATTAATGGCGCCCTTTCTGGTGGCAAGTTCTCAGCTAGTTTCTGTGCAGAGAGGAAAAAGCACATGGGAGCCCATAAAGCGGGGAGTAAAATCAATGCCCCAACCTGAAAGCAGTAGGAAAGCARGTGAGTTTTTTAGAGGGTTTAGGCWTGTCCTTCCACTTGCCATATGCAGGTGCTTAATCAATGTCCAGGCACTGGTGGGGGAACACGGCCGTGCTGCTCTTCTGCCCAGCCACAAAGTCTACTTAGCCAGTACTTTGATTTTTGCAGTGCTGCAGACTAAACGTATTCAATGAAAAGCCTGATTTCTGACATAGAAACCACTTGGGTTTCCTTGCTTGCGTGATGTTCCTCCTTTCTGCTGGTCTTGGATACCTTTACCTGCCCCTTGTTGACCTGTCTGCAGCAATGCATGTCTTCAGCCCACACCTTGGACTCTTCTGTGCCAGGACCAGATAGCGATGAACAGGATGGAGGGACAGGGACAGCTAGTCAGGGACGTCTTCTTTGGTATGTCCATCTTCTGGGAATGGAGCAAATTGGCCTCTGCTGCCTGCCTTGTAGCTCCTGCTGCTCAAAATTCCTCCTCCCTGAGGGCTCCTTCTTTCACGGGACTGTAAGTCACTGGGGAAGGGCTGGGATAGCTCACACGTGGGCACAAAGCCTTGGTGCTGGGACATGAAAATTGTACTGATTGCACCCATAAAAATGGAAGGAGGCAGAGAGAGAAAATCAGCAATAGCTCTCAGATGAGTCTTCCTCCTTGGCACCTTTATTTCCATAAGGAACAGACAGATGGGGCCAATGTGATCAAAATGGGAAGTTCTCTGCCAAGCTGTGCTCGTTTGTCTGTGCTGAAACATTAGGCAGCATATGGTGACGGGTCCTTTCCGATACGTCCCTGCAGTGGCATCGTGACGGCAGCRTCTCTGTGGCGAGGGATATCAGCTGAGACATCAGGTGTGAGGAGCCCAGAGGGGCTCAGGAGCTGGACGAGGGGCTTAGGGTGGCAGTTGCAACCTCCCCTGCTCTTGTGACGTGAGCTGCACGGTCCTCTGCTGTGTGCACAGGTCCCCATCTGCTACCAACATGTTACCTCAATCTGAGCAAGAGCAGYGGCTTTGCATTGGTGAGAGCACCCCAAGAGAGTTAGGCTAATGCTGAGTACTGCAGCCACTAAGGCAATATTATCCCACCGCTCTTGGGATCCTTGGGACTTGGACATGAGCGGCAAATAAAGTGTGTCTTCAGGGAGACACTCTCATGGAGGTGGGGGAAAYGGAGGATATTGTCTTTGTAGAACCTGTGTTTTTTCATTGGAGGGGGGAAAATATCTAGAAGTGGTCATGCACAGCATSAAGTCCTGCTGGAGCACTTGAAAGTCCTTGGAGCTTGGAGATGATGTGGAGACCACCTAGGGTTTTGCATCCATGAACATCTTGGGACTGTCTGTTTGTTTTTACTGACTTTGTGTTAGCAAAGTTGGGATTTGTACACTGAAATGGAGATGTTTCTACCAAAGCTTTCACCCGTCTCCCCTTATTTAACAAGAGCTGCCTTCACAATGCAGCTGCTCTCACCTGGCTGTGACTTTTCCCCCACTCATCAGTAATTTCCCAGCCTTATATCTTGGCTATCCCCCCCCCACTGTAATGTGGAAATAATCACACACACACATCTTAATTCCTTCTGAGAYTGAGTGTCACACAATGCAGAAAGCACAAAAAGTAAGCCTGCTTGGAAAATGCTGTTTATTTTGAGTGGAATGCTTAGAAGATGATAAATTTAATTACATATCCCATGGAACATAGGTTTCTTTTATCTGCAGTCTTGCCTGTGCTTTTTTCTTCTTGTTCCCAGTTTGTTTTTAATTTTATTTTCCACTTGAGAGAGGTTAAGAAGGAAAAATATATGGGGAGGGAGAGAAGCTCTTTCTCCTCCTCCTCCCACCCCCACTGCTTTTGAAGAGAAGGAAAAACTTAAAAAGAAAAGAAAAAGAGAGGAATGAAGGGATATAAAGCCAGACTCCTTCCGAGTTTCAGAGTACAAAACCAAAATGATGCTTTTCAACGTGAATGTTTATCATATTGTATCACTTTGAAACGTTTCATTAAAAGAATTCAACCAAATCAACTATGTTTGTGGTAGCTCCTGGGGTTCCCTTGGAAATCTATCTTAACTTTCATGTCTAGAACTTCATGGAAATAATTGCAACCATGTTGTAGCTGCTCGATGGCTGGAGACTTCTGAAGGATGCTAATCAGCTGCCATCCTGCAGGTGCAGCGGTTTAGAAATAACAGTTACAGGGAGATGGCACCATGCCAGTCTTCATCCCTCTCTCTCTCTCTCTCTCTCTCCTTGTCCCAAAGCATCTTCAGAAAGCCAGAGCTCTCTAAATCATTAAATTTGGGTTAATCTAGTTCCCAGGCAACATCTCTGGTGTCTTCACACCTGGACTTCTTCCAAGCTAAACTTTGGAAGAATAGTTTTGGTAGAGCCTTGCCTTGAACCATYGCTGCATTTTCACACCTCTCCTTTGACTTGCATCGCTCGCACACTGCAACTCGCTACAAGCCAAGCTGGCCCCAGAGCTCATTTTTTGCCCTTTGCATCTGCACTTCATCTAGCACGGACAAAATCCGTCTCATCACGTGGGTACCAGCCAACCTTTCTGCAGAGTTGAATATACCCATCGTCTCGGAGGGACCTCAGCTCTGCTGGCCTCTTTGCCTTTCCAAACTACCCAAATTTATAAGGGAAACAGAGCCTGAGTCAGAGTGACCTGATCCTTGGAGAGATCAGTAGGCTGGAAAATAATTAGCTGTCAAGCCAAGTTGCTCGTGTCGCCTGCCCCATATCTCCAAACGAATTTCTGTGGGCTCAGGTTTGACACAGAATCACCATGGGAAGGTGGAAACTGTCCCCAGATTAGATATGGCAAGCTTATATGACATAAGAATTTATTACGCAGTCCAGTTTACAGGAGGTCAGGGGAGGAAAAAAAAAAAAAAAAGAAAGAAATTCAACAACCCTCTTTCATTTATGAAATAGATACAGAGTTCGAGTGTTACTCATGGATGTTAAGTCTTAATAAATTATGTTGGTGACTTGCGTGATGGACAGATTTATCTTCATCATGCRATTTTGTAGCTTCCAGATGAATCCTAACCAGTGCTGATATAAACTTCTCTCTTTAATACACACCAGTAACTTCACCCAACCTTTTACCCCTATCATTTGGCAATGATAAGGGCTCAGGCCATGGTTTTACTGGGAAAGTGGTGTTTTCTTCAAGAGAGAACCTTACGGCCAAACCGGGTAAAAAGGTTGTGTTTCCTTGTGTTGTCTAGTGGCACAGGTGGAGCAGGCTTCATTCTGCTTGTCAATGTTTTTATAGCTGTATGGGGCCTCTATAAACCTCAAGCATCAATAACAATATTACAGGAAAACCTTTAATAAGTGAAGGGGGTGGTGCAGGTAAAGTGAAAGCAAGCTCATAAGAAAATATCGGGAGAAGGATTAGAAGTA